GATCCCGTCATCTAAGTCGGGATCCGCTCCAGGTGCGGCGTCTCAGTATACCGCGAGCTGTAGCTCGCGGTATACTGAGCTTAGTGTAACGGGAGGACGCTAGTTTGTGTCCTCCCGTTACCCTAAGGAGAACTATGGGGAAAAACACTGACCCCATAGTTCTCCTTTAAAGACAGACAACACGATGGATTGTAATTATAGATGGAGATAAACATATCCTGAGGAATAGTAAACAGTTATCTGATACAGACACATTTGAAACACCTAAAAACATAAAAATAAAAGTCATAAACAAGTTGAATAAACTGTCAAAAAGGGCTTTTAAGATAGGATTGATTCATAAAAATGAATTGGATATCTGGATATAGGATTCCCAAAACCCAGCGATTTACAGCATGTTCTGTACAAGATCCAAGGAGGAGAAATTTGGAATTAGATAAATATGCATGTGTGTTGCAGAAATTATATTTACCTCCTGGAGTGTGAATTCTTTTTACAACATGTTAATCACTGGAGGAAAGAAGATCACAGTGATACAAACCATTCTGCAAAGGCACATAATTGCAGGCATGAAGAACAAATACGCAGATTAAAAAAAGACACAAATTAAGGCAGCTCTGAATTTTTTTTATACATCATTAAATGTATTTTATATAGTGTAGACACCTGAATTGCATGTGGTATGAGTCTCTTACAATCCTCTACTCAGCAGAGCTCAGGCTGGGGGAGGGTAAAAGCAGCATAAGAAGCCAAACAGCTGTTCTGTAGTGTTCACATGTTAACAAGGAACATGCTGATAGGAGCTCTTCAGCATGCTGCTTCCCCTTTCACTGTCCAATCACAGGCTGGGGGAGAGACAAGATCTTTATGTGTTACTTAGCTGCAACAGAAGAAAATCCTGGTCTTCTGCCCTGTTAGACAGAGATGTACTGTGTGGTAGAGCTGTGTTAATCTGGACAGAAAGTCAAATCCTTTGGCAGGCATTACAGCTTCCATATATGTATATTTTCTGTCTATTTTGCCATTTGCCTGTAGTTAAGGTATAAAGGATAAGTAAACTTGAAAACAGAGTATACTGTACCTATCCTTTTTGCGTCCCTTCCCTGACCTAGACTAGACTATCCTACAGATCCCCCCTCCCCCCCCCAAGTGCATACTACCTCGAAGCCTCCACTGGGTATTATCCTTGTGTGGATCACCTGTGTGGATTTCCATAGACTTCTCTTGCTGCCATTTTTCTAGGACCAGTGATAAGGCATTTGAGTGGCAGTAAACTCTTCCTCTAAAAAGCAACATTTATCCCTTCAAAATACATTTAGCAAGAGGTCCCTATGGAGGAGGCCACCACCCAGGAGGATAAAGTCTAGCGTACTGTGGTATAATGGTAATTACATCTGCCTACCATGTAAATGCAACAATTCTGTTTTTGTTATAGAGCGTCTTAACATCTTTTGAAGAGAAGCACGTTGTTTTTTGTTTTAATTGTGAAGATTCTCAATGGCTTGGTTCGGTCCCGTAACCAGACAGAAGGGAATGATAAAGTAATGATCAGTGTTGGGGTCATTCGTAAAGATTAGGGATGTTCAGATACCAAGTACCGTACTCGGTACAAGTACATGTACCGATACTTTTCCAGCTCCAAGGCTAGACTAGAGAAAAACTCAAAAGTTAAGAGGCAGCTGTCATTTTTAAGGAGCGTACAGAGCTCCTTGGATTTGTGTATCCCTGTTTTAATGTATGATTTTTTTAAATATACATATATCTATATATATATCTATATACAGGCAGTCCCCAGGATACATACATCCGACTTACATACGACTCCTACTTACAAACAGAGACTATTACTGTACAGCAGGGGTAGATGTAATGCTACCGCGCTCCACGACAACCCAAAATTTTCAAAATCCAATCACAGGGACAGAAAGTGAGGTGAAATCTTCTGAACAGGGGCACACACAGCAAAACAAACTTTTCAGAGGGTTAACCCTTCCCTATGCTATCCAAAACAAAACAAAAATGTTTTGGCTGGAGTTACACTTAAAAAATGTACCTGTTCCAACTTACATACAAATTCAATTTAAGTACAAACCTACAGTCCCTATCTTGTTCGTAACCCGGGGACTATTCTGCAACCCTGGTAGGTCTCGAGAAGACACTGGTATCTGAACTGGTATCTGAACATCCCTAGTAATGATCAGTGTGGGGTGGATACAGCTTTGATTTAACACCCAAGTGGAGAGTGACCTCAATAGACTACCAGTGTGTGAAGACTAAATCTGGCCATACACTAGTTGAATTTCACTCCTGCCAACTCAGCTGAAATTCTAGCAGTTCCCCATTCGACAAAAGTCGATATTTCAATTGACTTTTATCAGAGGTGCCGAGCAGAATATTCACAACTGAACGCCAATCAGCTGCCATCGCTTTTTGGGTATTGTGATAGCGGCACACCCGTTGCTGTCAGAATACAATAGCCCAGCGGGGGGATTCAAGAGATTTATAAGAGGTTATTAGGGGCTAATCTATAAATATTCTGCCAAGCGTATAGCTGGGTGAAAGCTGTCCGCACAGAATCACGGCCACTAGTTGGAGCCGAGGAGCATAGGAAATTCCTATGCTCCTCAGCACCATCTAGTAGCCGATTTACAAAAGTTCCACCCAGTGTATAGCTAGGCACATGCCATTTGCATGGCATTACTGCCACTAGATGGAGCCGAGGAGTATTTCTATGCTCATCTGTACCATCTAGTGGCTGTTTTATGAATCTTCCACCCAGTGTATAGCTGGGTGAATGCCGTTCACACAAAATTAATGCCACTAGATAGAGCCGCGGTGCATAGGAAAATCCTATGCTACTCATCGCCATCTAGTGGCTGATTTATAAATCTTAAACCCAGCGTATAGCTGGGGCATGCCATTTGCATGGCATTACTGCCACTAGATTAAGCCAATGAGCAAAGGAATTTTCTATGTTAGTCATCGCCATCTAGTGGTGGTAGTGCCCTCCAATTGGCACACGCCCAGCCATACGCTTGGGGGAAGATTTATAAATCAGCCCTTAAGTGTATGGTCTTACTGTTACCCTGTTTCAATCTTTTTAACCCATAAGTGCAAGTATATACTTTTGAGCGGGACATGTACACATGTATACTATATGTACTTCAGGTGGGAAGCACTTACCTATGACTTTTTGGGAAAGGTCTACTAATGTGCTGCAAAAAGAAAAAAAACCCATTAAAACCGTAATCAGTTGGAAGATGAACTGTGTGGATTGGCATTAAACAAGCTGAGAAATTACAGATTTAAGCACAGATTTGTTTACACGACATCACAGAAAATTAAAACCGACACACTTGGCTGCCACATCAGTGAGCAAGTATAACTTCATGCGGCTAGGAACAACATTTTTCTGTTGTCAATAGAAGGGGGAGAATAGGGTGTGACATAAAAAATCTCACATGACAAAGAGATTGAAGTTGGAATTTCTTTGTGTTGAGTGTATATCGTATTTAATTTAAAGTGCAAATGTCATCTACTTTCAAAGCTGTCTTTTCTTCTGCTCCCAAGGAAGAAAGCTCAGCCACACGAAACACCCTCCCATTGCTGGTCCATAGAAAAGAATCTCCCTCCCTTAGAGTACGTGTGATTAACCAGCACAGCCGTCTGCATCCGTCGTTATCAGCGCATCACATACACACAGACAAGCATCATCCTACAGCATAGCAGAGTGAATATACCACTTGCTGATCACAACATCAGGAAGCAGCAAAACAACAAGGTAAAGAAAAACAAATTGGGTTTGATGTATAGGATGTGATGTGTGTATACAAAATAGATTTTTTTTCTCTTGTCAATGTACAGTAAATCCCAGACTGGCAGCGAAGAGCACAATATGAACTGGGTGGGTTATACATTGTACGGCTTGCAAGGCAATATTTTATGTAGTTAGGGTTGTTAAAAAGGAGCGTTGTGATTTGTTTGCTGATGTGAAATTTTCCTTGTACAAGGTAAAGGTTGATTATCCATCAATTCTTCAGGTGAAAATATGACAAGTGTTCATTATGTCCAGTATACTATAAATGCAGATCAGAAACAGGTTCAGATAACTCCAATTCATCATCAGAAACTGCAACTATGTAAATGGCATTTGTTGGTATGATGAGAGTTGTAATACCTCTCCTCTATTGTTTCTCTTTTTTTTTCCTTTGTCTGTGTTTATTCTGTGTAACCATTCACACAGGTGTCTTGTGCATGATATCGGAGAGATTTATTTAGATCAAGAGGTTTATCTCAGTTCAAGTCCCAGTAGAAATCTCTTTCTCCTTGAAGATGCTCCAAAATTATGAGCGATCTACTTACAAAGAAAATGTCAGCACGGCTGAAAATGGGAGCAACAGGAGTGACACAACTCAGAGACAGGGTTGTGTGTGTGTGTATATATACAAGTGTCACAATAAACATCCTTTCTATTTTTTACTCCAGATCTCTGTCTTTTTTAAGAGCAATCCACTGATTCCCAGTTATATACAGAAAGGAGATTAAACTGACGAGAAGAATACTGATTTTTGTTTTTTTCAGGAAGGTCAGAAAAATCTGCATGTTATCTGGAGCAAAATGACATCAGTGGCAGTATAAACACACACAGTTATCTAAGGTTTGCAATGCATTATCACTGTGGATGTAAGATTATATTAGAACACTGTCAATCAGGTTATAGTAGCAAAGGATAATATCAAAAACAGAAGTACATAGCATTATTTTTTTATATAATTTTCCTTGTTATGAGATGTTAAAAACAAATGTTGGATACCACCCAAGATATTACTGGACCACTTTGTCAAATACAAAGTTTATTCAGATGGACGGATCATTCAGTACTTTAAATGAAAGGGAAGGCATAGTGTATTTTCAGGAGGCAAATATTTTGAGTTATTATTGCAATTATTATCTTAAAGTCATTTTGACATGATTGTTACATGCTTAATAATCCATATACACTACATTGCCAAAAGTATTGGGACGTCTGCCTTTACACGCACATGAACTTTAATGGCATCCCAGTCTTAGTCCGTAGGGTTCAGTATTGAGTTGGCCCACCCTTTGCAGCTATAGCAGCTTCAACTCTTCTGGGAAGGCATCCACAAGGTTTAGGAGTGTGTCTATGGGAATGTTTGACCATTCTTCCAGAAGCACATTTGTAAGGTCAGGTACTGATGTTGGACGAGAAGGCCGGGCTCGCAGTCTCTGCAGTTGCATCCACTTTGTTATAGTACCACTAACAGTTGACCGTGGAATATTTAGTAGCAAGGAAATTTCACGCAAGGACTTATTGCACAGGTGGCAACCTATCAACTTGATAGGTTGCCGCACTTGAATTCACTGAGCTCCTGAGAGCGACTCATTCTTTCAAAAAAGTTTGTAGAAGCGTCTGCATGCCTAGGTGCTTGATTTTTTACACCTGTGGCCATGGAGGTGATTGGAACACCTGAATCCAATGATTGGGGGGGGGGGTGTCCCAATAATTTTGGCAATATAGTGTATTTATTATTGTATTAAATATAGCATTTTGTAGATTATCCACTAGAGGGAGCAAACACTTACTTTACGATCACTCTGCCTTCTTTCTTAACAGCTGTTAGGATATCAGTCTCATTGTTTTTAATGATTTAGCAGTCTCATAAACTTGTACTGTATATTCCCTTTAAAGACCTGAGATCTGGCCATGAGAAAATGTGATCACTTAACAGCCGAGGCAAAATCTTTCTTTGGTAGCAAGAGCCCCAGCACCATAGAGATATGTAGATATAAAAAAGACACCTATTTAAGACACCCATAAACACAAGGATTTTTTTCATCCAGAAAACAGCTATGGTTAGTTTTGCCACAGGAGGTGTTAAGGTTCTGACTTATATCCAGACATTGCACAGACAAATTGATTTCAGCAGCAGAGGTTGCATATTCATTCTAGGTGACAGTGTTAAAGAAAACTGTTCAGTTAACAAAGCTGACCAGAGGGAATGAGAGTGCATGTAAGTCTGATCTTAAAGGGTCCCTAATAAGATGACTGCATACCTCCTATTCTGCCAGAATAGGACCTCCTAACGTAGAACAGTGTAAATGAGAGTAAGAGTTAGGTCAGTGAGCAGTGGGTTTAGGAGGGTGTTGGAATTTGATCCTTATGTTCATCTAACGAGTGACCAGCTAAAAGATTCTCAAAAAGGAAGTCCTTGGGATGGCAGGCAGAGGAATTGAGTGCATGAAGTTTGAGAAATGGAAGGTGCCTGCAGTTATGAATCTGTATACCAGTAGGTCTTGGAGGGCCTACATAGGCAAATTTAGATAAAATATGCAGGCAACATATGGGCAATTGCAACAACGGCAGTAATAAACAGGCAAATGTTGCATGTCAAGGCCTCATTCAAACCGTTTGCATCCAGGGCTGCTTTATTTGTCCCCAGCCATATATAAATGCTGGAAGTGCATATACAATGCATTTAGCCACAGACAGCTGTGGTGCCTGTCATTGATTTGTATAGGCTTCCTGCCCGCAGGCGATCGAGCACACCAGTCATCCCAAACTAAGAAATACGCTAATTTTTGCTGGCTTACGACCCCAATCTGCCATGTGAATGAGGCCTTCTATAGGTATACACTAAATACATGGGTTTGTGTGTGTATGTTAGGTATGTCTGTTTGAAATTTTTCAGCAGAATATACTGTATTTTTCCATGTATAAGACTAAACTTTTTCATAAAAATATTTACCTAAAAATGGAGGGGCGTCTTATACACGGGGGCCGAGAGGAGAAATGCGGTTGCGAAACTGTCGATACCTCTGCACACTAGCCTCACGAGTGAAACTTCCGATTGCAGAGACAAGCTAACAGGTTTCCTCCAATCATGAGCCTTATGTACCCGACATCAGCTGATGCTGCAGAGCCTGTAGCCAGTGCCCAGATGCAACAGGGAGCGGTAATGTCGGAGCATTCTGAGCCCATAAAATGTCAGAAAACTAAAAAAAATTCCGGTAAATACCAATACCAGGAAGCGGCTGTCTTACTCTGCCAAATATAAACTGGATGTAATCAGTTATGCAAAAGAGCATGGAAAATATTGATTTCTGAATTTTGGGTAAGAAAAGTGGGGGGCGTCCTATACATGGGGGCGTCTTACAGACGGAAAAATACGATATACGCCTACCTGATGGCGAACTGCAAATAACAGTACAGAATAAATTAATAATAAATGAAGGCTAAAGATATGGGGCTTCACAGTCCATTAAGAGTAATGTGAAAAAAAAACTTAACTAGTTAACTCGGTCACTAGCCACTTGTTCTAGTTGTCATTCAATATCCAATTCACATCCTGTACAAAGTATACATAGAATGTAAGTAATTGTCTTGAACAGAATACATTCCCCTTTTGTTTTAAACATCTGTTATATCACAAATCATCAAGATTCCAGACTGCAAACCTGTCTACCAAAGCAATTAAGCTGGATCCTCATATTTGCTTTCTCTGCACAGTTTGAAAATTTTTTTATTGATGCAATAGGGCATTGTTTACTTACAGTATATCCACTCTGGGTCTTTACACCTAGAGACGGAAAGATGAAAGATTGCCTCATTCTTCCAGTCACCAGGTCTAGGTGTTCAGAGGTAGAGTGAGCAAATTTTCACTTCCAGCCGCTCTGTTTCCAGCTTTGGCATGTCTTGAAGAAAGGACAGGGCAGAAGACAGGTAGCCTAGTGGGAAGGAAGTATAAATCCAGCCTTAGAGATTACAAGTAAGTCATAACAACACACCTTTTTTAAAATAGCCGCAGATGTCCTCTCCTATTACTAGACTGAAGGTATACTGGCTGCTGTGTGGTCCACATTTCTAACCTATGAATACAACAGAGAAGTGAGGCACTACCTGCAGTGAAAAACAATGGCCATTATAGGAAAGCAGATACAGTAAATAATACAAAATGTTTCAGGTACCCCATCCCTCTTCATCAGGAAAACAGTACTGCTTCCTGGACATCTTCTCTATGGTGCAGCAATTATTATTTTCAGGACTTCTGCTATATAAGTTGATAATATGTCATTTTGCTTCACGTGTTAGATTAAAAGACTCGATTTATATAACCTGGTCAACATACCTGGGAACTTTTGGAAGTCAGTAAGCCTGAGAATGGGGTCGGGGAAAAGGGGTGCATGTCCCTAACAACATGGGCCTCTGAGAAATCTGAAGGATAACTGTGGGGTGGGCAACTTGCCACAGTAAATTAACAGGCTTGAAAGTAGTACATGTTGTGTGCTGGAGAGATGGGTATAATAACTACGTGGTTTGATAGTGACAGGCCTGTAGGGGACTGAATTATAGTAATAAACTCCTCCAAACAAGTAGTACTGATCTGTAAATACATAGGCAAAAAAATCATTAAAATGCAAGCAACATATGGGCCATATGCAAGCAACACACATGGGCAACAAACGGCAATCATGACAACACATGGACAACATATGGGCAACTGTGGAAATACAGAGCAAAAAAAATGGGAAATGCTGCATAGCAATAATAATAACAACAGTGACAATAACTTGAGTCCAGTCTCCCTCCCATTTCCTACACCTTCCCTACTTTTACTCCTCCAATCACTGGCTGACAAGAGTAGTGCCACTGACGTCACTACTTCTGTCGGTCTACCAGTGACAGAACCAAAAGAAACTCCTAGCACCCCTAAGATCCAGCAATCGAGCTGCATAGCTGCAACGTCCAAGTAAAAAAT